TTTTTTTTTTTTTTTTTTTTTTTTTTTTTTTTTCCTGTTCATCGATTTAATTGAAAAAAATTATCAACCGATTAATCGATTATTATAATAATCGTAAGTTGAAGCCCTAATCGCTCGTGTTGGTGCTCCGTCCTGAATGTGCAGGTACGTTCCTCCAGACCAGGTGAGAGCTGTATCAAGTGTTCAGGCCTCCATCTCTGGGTCTTCAGCAAGCAGCACCGGCAGCACCCCGGAGGTCCAACCTCTAAAAACCCTCCAGCTCAACAAGACACCGTTACGCCAGGTAGAAACAACTCCACTCTCTGTAAAGTTGACACTTTTTGAGTTTTTAGATTTTTGTTGTAGAAAAGCACTTCCTGTGCTCTCCTTGCTCTCAGTCTCCAGGTCTGGCTCGCTCCCAGGCTCATGGTTCTGCTCAGGAGAAGAAGTTTGACCTGCTGTCGGACTTGGGCGGAGACATTTTTGCTGCTCCACCAACTCAAACTGCCACTTCTTCCAACTTTGCCAATTTTGCACATTTTCCAAGCAAGTCAGGTAAATCTAATATTTTTAATTTATTTTTCCATCACCATTCATTTCCATCCATTGTTTTTGTGTTTGGACGTCCCTCCTCTTTGTTCTGTTTGCCTCCTGTTCAGCTCCTCAGGGTAATTCTAATGCCAACTTTGCCAACTTTGAGGCTTTTGGAAACACTACAGTTCCTGCCAATCTGAGCACGTCACCTCCCTCAAAGTCTTTTTCATCAGGTACCATCTTCATCCCTTCATTCTACCCACACATCCTCACCTCATCAGTGTTTGAATTATTTTCTGACAACTGTGCTCATGAGATAAGTCTTCTCTCTGCTTTGAGAGGCTGGATTAAGGTTCTCAACACATCCATCCTTAAGACTTTAGAAGAGCACAGATTATCGGGTAAGAGAACTGTCAATCATTGTTTGTGTAAGAGTCTAAATTTGTACATGTAAGTCTATAAACGTACATAAATTTGTTACAACTTTGCCACATTACAAGTACGAATCAAATTTACAAGTACAATTCTTTTACCTGTCAAAATAAGACATTTTGCATGGAACACCGAAAAGATCGATTGCAAACAGTAACTAAGCCAGACCACTAGGG